CCAAATCCCTCCCATTCTATTGAAAATAAAAGACAAACAAAACCCCTGTACATGGCCATGTAATACATACACACATACACATATGTGTAAAGAAATACACACACACATATATACATACATATATGTCTCATTCTGTATTGAGTTTTTCACCTTTTGAGAGGTAGGTAGCATGGTTGATAATGAGACTAATCAGAGTTCCTGAGTCTTTCAGAGTTGTTTGTCTTTATCCTTTTTTTGTCGTTGTATAAATTGCTCTGCTGATTTTGTTCCCATTACTCTCCATCAGTTCATATAAGTCTTCCCAAGTTTTTCTAAAACTGATCTCAGGGTGTGAGCTGTTGCTTGCTTCTGAACCTGCTCCTCTCTTGCTAACAGAGTCCAGGGCCTGTCCTTGGGTGGCAGTGGAGGGAGAGTGGTGCAGTTCTCCTCCTTGATTGTTCTGGATCTGTACCTGGAAACTGGGTAGTCAAAGAAAAAGCTTCTACTTGGCTCCTGTCCTCATTGTAGTGCTCCAGTATTGACGTGGGACCTTGACTTACTTTGGTGTGTACAGCCTAATCCTGGGTCGGAATACTCCACCAGTAGTTCTGCTGGCCAGACTCAGTCTCCAGTGTGGCCGTCCACATATGCCAACCTAGGCTGGAAAAATGACTCATGACTTTTTCTAGGAATTCCCTAATCAGGATTATGTGCATTTTCTAGGTGTATTTGGAGGAGGTTGGTTTGTTTGTTTTGGGGAGGGGAGGTAGTAGGGGACTTACTGTCCAGTGTCCTGCTATTCAGCTATCTTTCTAATAGCCCAGTAGGAATTTGATTTATTAGGTTGGGGCTAGGGGAAGGAAAAAAGGAAGAAAAGAAATGAGGTAATTAAAGTGATTTTAAATTAGAGTTTGAATAGCAGGCAGACAAATATAAAGTCAGTGAAGATAAAAGAAGTCCCAAATGGAGTATAAGAAATTAGAAACACAGAATCTTCATACGTAAAATAGGAAGGAACCTTTGAGAAAATCTAGTCCAATTACACCTATGAATTTGTCTGCCTAGGATACGGAAAAAAGAGACAAGTCTATGTGAGAGGCCTGCATTAATTTTTTCTTCTTCTAATCTTCAGAGGGGAAATATGGGTATTGGTGGAACTTGGTTCTATGTGGGGGAACATGGAGTCTATTAAGTAGTACTCACCCCAAGGAAACACACTCCCTTTCTTTGTTCCTATGTGAAGGGATTTGACTGTGCCTTGGAATTTTATAGAAAAGTTGGTGACATTTTATAAGAACGTTTTATATTAGGAAGACTTTTGCCAAATATACTAAGATTTTATCAGTCTATCAATAAGCATTTATTAAGCACTTACTATATGTCAGGAACTATGCTAGGAATCAAGAATTCACATACAATATTCTTTTAAAGTCAGTTATTAAACTTTATTAATCCTGACCCAATGGGGAGAAGACTACAAATTATGTGACTTAACTTCTTAATGTCACTAACTTCTTATGTTAAATGATGTACCCTCTAGAGCTTCTGGCTCCATATAAATGATTTTCTAATAATTAAAGCTTCCCCAGAATAGAAAATGAGAACAGGCAATTTGTCAGGGAAAGTATAAGAGATGAACATCACCAGTGTTGTAGAAGAGATTTCTGAATTCTTGGGGAAACTCTTACTAGAAGATGCAGGGTATAGTGAAGATCACGGGGCTTGGGGTCAGGAAGACGTGCCTCTGGGACTTCCCAGCTGTGCAGCCATGCATAAGCGAATCAGTCAGCTAGCATATTTACTAAAAGATTACTATGTGCCTGGCACTGTGCTAAACACTAAATACAAAGAAAGAGAGAGGGGCACCAGAGCCTGCTCTTAAGGAGCTCACAAGTGTGATGGGGAAGACAGCATACAGACGACTATGTATAAGCAAGCTGAAGCCTCGATAGATTAGGGGCAATCTCAGAGGGAAGGCACAAGGATAAGGAGCCCTGGCAAAGGCTTCTTGCCACTTCACTTCATTTTTTGAAGATCCAGTTTACTCGTTTGTAAAATAGAATAATAATAGTTGTAAGAGCTTGCAAGGTTGTTAAAGCACTATAGAAATATCAGTTATTATGAATTCCCCTTCCAGTGCTAAAATTTTATGATCTTATATAGCCCTATATTGATGACAAAGGAAATAAAAGTTTTCTACTTATTGTGACACATGTAAAGCCCCAGAGCCTTAAAAGCAGTGACATTTTTTTCTAGACATTGCTCATCAATTACATGATTTTCTAAAGATATTTTTATTACATAGGAATTCTTTTTTTATAAGCAAAACTAGGATACTTTATTTTGAAAATAATGATAAAAAGCAAAAGTTTATGCACATAAACCTTTCTTAAATAAGTGAATTCTTTAAACTTGTGTCTTTCAATTAAGTTTACTTTAGACTTCTAATCAATTCCTGAACAAAAATATAATTTCTTGTCCTCCTTTCTGTCTCCTGAAATACTTTGTCTTTATTCATGCCCTTGTCTGCGGTTATTTTACCTCTAACTATAAAAGGAATCTTTTAATTTATCCATGCTTCTTGTAGACCTCAAGAAAGATTCTTATTTTTTTGGTCCTTGCTGCTTCTGATCCACTGTCATCACTGCTGCTTAGTTCCTTATGGAGAAGACTAAAGCTTCTAGTGGCTTCAGCTACTACTCACACATGCTTTTCTTATGAAGGATTAGGATCTTTTTGCAGGAATTCAGTATTAGTGTAAAACTTTCTTGATGTCTATGTCATAAACCACAAGTAAAAGGGCATTAGAATTGCAACTCAAATTTCCACGTAACCTTCTCATGACCTATAGCCTACAGGCATACAACCCTTCCACCAGTTGATTTCAAAGATGTTTAACATTTTATATCTCAGTTCATGCCAGCCAACAAAGTACTTAAGGTATAATTAACTCTTATTCTTAAGATTAGTCAACTTTAAAGATATAAGAATCAGAATGCCTTTGGGCAATAACAAATAGAGAATTCTTTATATATTTCTGAAACTTATCTCCACGTCAACCCCTAATTTTATTTTATTTTTTTTTTTAGACAATTGGGGTTAAGTGACTTGGCCAGGATCACCATGTCATGTGTTTGGTCTGAGTCTGGATTTGAACTCAGGTCCTCCTGACTTCAGGGTCGGTGCTTTATCTACTGTGCCACCTAGCTGTCCCTCAACCTCTAATTTTAGAGTTATATTTAGAATGTGCATCTTAGGAACATTACCTTGTTGCTTCATTTATGCAGTGCACTGTATAATTCTAAGAATCCTTACAATTTAGTTTATTTCCCCTCCATAGGTATTCTGAAGACTTTTTTATTCCCCAAGATTCATTATATTGGTACTAGACTTTGAAAACCCAAATGACTTTGGCCCTACTGTAGCTCAGAACTACCAAACTCAAGTGATTTACCAGTATGGTAAATCCTTTTAAAAGGATTTAAGCTAAAATACTTTAGCAGTATGAATTATAGGTGTACACCAACACATTCAGTTTTCTCTTCCCCCTTCATCATTTATTACATCACAGTGGTATTTCTGTTAATTCCATATGCCATAATTTGTCCAGCCATTCCCTAATTGATGGGTACCTTCTTAGCTTCTAGTTCTTTGCCAGCACAAAAAGAGCCACTACAAATATATATATATATGTATGTATGTATGTGTATATGTGTGTATATATATATTTTTATATAGGGGTCTCTTCCCTCTATATGATCTCTGGGATATAGGCCAAGTGGTCGGTCATTTGCTGGGTCAGAAAGTTTGTACACAGTTTGGTAGTAACTTCTGCGGTGTAGTTCCAAATTCTTTCCAGAATGACAGTACCATTTCACAGCTCTTGCAACAGTACATTCATGTGCTTGTTTTCCTACAGTTCTTGGCAATTTTGCTTTAAGTACTTAGATGCTCTGCCATTTATTATCTATATTTGTCTGTGTGTATGTGTGGTATATATGGTGTTAATTCCTTATCTTTGATACATTTCATTATGTTTCCTTTGTTTCTCTCTTAATCAAGTTTATACTTGCTGTTGCCTTGTCTGAGATCATAATTCTACCCCTGCCATTTTGAGTTCAGCTGAACCATAATGGATTTTGCTTTAGACCCTCATTGTAACTCTGTGTGAATATCTTTCAAATCCATTTTCTTATACACAAAATATTGTTGGATTGTTCTTTTTAAAGTCCATCTTATCTTCCATTTTGTGGGTAAGTTCATCCCATTGGCATTCATAGTTAGGATTGTTAATTTTTTATTTCCATCCATTTTGTAATCATTCTTTTCCTAATTTTACTTCCTATTTCCTCTTTATAGAGAAGAGAATGGTGAGAGAGGAGTGGGCTTAGCACCAGTGCTCTATGCTTGATGTAATTGACTAATGTTCCATGCCCCTCTTCTCTTTTCCCTGTACATATTAGATTTAGATTTTCTAGTATATAAGTTAAAATTTCACTAGGAGTCACTAATTGTTTTGTTTGTTTGTTTGTTTTGTTCTTTTTTTTTGCCCAGAGTTACACAGCTAGTAAGCATTATGTGTCTGAGGCCGGATTTCTCCTGACTCCGGGGCTGGTGCTCTATCCGCTACCTAGCTGATCCCACTAATTCTTAGATACGTTAAAACTAATATGATATTAATCTGTAGGACCTTTGAGATCTTTTAGGTATTTTCAAGAGATAGCATGGTATCTTGACATGGAGTATGGAATTAGAAGAAAGGATATCTCTGTTCTGTTTTTGACTTTAGTATTGATTTTTTTGGATTTGGAAAGGTAAATGTTTTCCTACATGAGATATATATTTTAGAGTTCCAAATTTAATCTTGGCCTAGTCAAATAAAAAATACGTTAACATGACCTAAAGAAAAAATAGATTGACTGGTCTTTTATTGCAGGTGGTTACATTAGCATATTTTATGTCATTCCCAAGGTTTTTGTAAACCAGAAACTTACAACTTTTTTCTTTTTAATTTTTGTCAGATTCAAGCCGTTTTTCCCATTTCAAGTCTCGCAAACCACAAAGGAAGAAAATGAGTGGCGATTATACATACAACAATCTGGACTTGCGGAAGGCCGCCTTAAAATTACTCTAATAGAATGTAGCAGGTATGTTTGTTCTGTCATTGCTGAATTTCAACTAAGATAAATGAGATAAATAATGTTTAAGTAATATTTGCACTTAACCCTATTTTGTGATAATTTATGCTACTTCACCTATTATATTGCTATAATCCTAAATTTCATCTTATGTTAAAGTAATTCTTTTATTTTATAAAAGTAGAAGTGGCTTCCCAGAAAACAATATCTGAAAAGAAAATACTTATAGGAAAATGCTCACCGGAATTTTTAAAGTTATGAAACCCTATTGGTGGAGTTTGAGATCACCTCCTGCCAAACTAATATGAATGTTAATTATTGTTATTTGATTTGGTGAGTGGGGTACCACAAATTTTTTTAAAATAATTTGAAATACTCTGGAATAGAGATTGGAAACTAATAGCCAGGATTAGGGATGCATCTGATGCATCTGAAAACACAACTGCTTATTTAAAATACTGACCTAGGAGAGAAAGTGACATATGTTGGTTGTTGTAGTTAAATATATTAAAAATATTCTAGGGGGAAAAACTGGGGAAACTTTTTACCTCAGACAGCCCATTCTACTTTTGGGTAGCTCTAATTGTTAAGAAGTATTTTCCTTATATAGAGCACAAATCTTTACAGCTTCTATCCATTGATTGTAGTTTTGCCTCCTGGGGCCGAGAAGAAAAGTGCTATAGTAGATAGAGGAATACCCGAGTTTGACTTCTGCCTTAGATACTTAATAGCTGTGTGGCCCTGGTCAAGTCACCTAACTTATGTCCATCTAGGTTTCCTCATATAATAATAGCACCTACCTCATAAGATTATGAAGACCAAATGGAATAATATATTCACAGCACTTTGCAAACTTTAAAGCACTGTGTAAATATTAGATATCATTATTATTGTTATTTTATGTAAGATAGTCCTTTAAATACTGAAAGACTGTTATCTTGTTGCCCACTTAAATATTATCTTTTCAGTGCTTAGCATTCCGTAGCATTCCCATAGCATTCCTTCAGTTGATCCTTTTATGGTGACGTGATTTCCTTTCTACGCACCATCCTGGTTACCCTTCTAAGGATATTATCCAATATGTTAATGCCCCTTCTAAAATATGTTACCTACATGTTCTTTGACCAGGGAGAGACCAATGGCAGTAGCATTTCCTTAATTCAGGATACTGACCTTCTAATCTTATTCTCACATCCCCTTTGAGCCTCATTACCCAACTCAGACCAGGGCTTGAAGGTTGAGGTCCCTGGAAGGCAGTTGAGTCTTCTCTCAATATTCTAGGGGGGAATTCTTAGAGGAGCTGAGGTTTCTAGTTCTGTTGCTTACTGGTCTGATTCCCATCACCATTTAGCCAGTAGATATGAATTCACTTTTAGAAAAGTGATTTAGTAATAAGCTATAGCAAGAATACTTGGTACAAAACATTTTTGTCAATCCAGGAGCATATACTTCCCATGCTTATCTTGTCCCTCATCTTCCCCATGCTCACCATGTCCCTCATGCTCTCCCTGGGAAGAATGGGCTTAACAAATGTAAAGTACAATATTAGTGGTATAATATGGTATAATATGGTGCCTCTCTTGTGTTTATTCTTTCCTCATCTTAGGTGAAAGAATATTCTGAGATGAGTGTCCAAATGATATGGTGAGTTTGGGAGATTCAGAGGTCCCACTGGCCAAGTGCAAGCAGTAGCAGTGGCTGCTATAGTGGTAAAGTCTAATAATAGAAGCAGCACCTGCTGACAGATGTGGAAAGATAGTACCCCGAAGATGGTGGCAGTTTCAGAGAGAGACCCTTCGTGGCCTAGAGAAGCACTGGCTATGAACTCTCAAGGGGCCCAGCAGAAAGCTACACCTAAGAGGAACTTTATGAGAATTCCAAGAAAAGAGAAAAGGACTTCCGGGGCTAGGAGCTGAGCTTAGCTCTAGTGGGTCATTTTAAATGTTAATGACACCAAGATTATCTCAGATGAAGCCGCCATGTATAACAACCCCACTGGGGACTACTTTGTCTTACCTGTACTCATTTTCATTAGAATCCCCAGTGGGGTGATTGCTACTTACTCTGTGGTGTGCCAACCCTATCTGGTGTGCATCTCATTGATACTCAGCCAGTAGCTTCAATTAGCATTTAGCAACAGAATTTACCAAGATGGTTATAGTAAGATCAATTCATATTAATACCATATTATAGGCCCAGGGGTTACCTTGTGACTTCTTCCTCGAAGATGTTTTTCTTCCTTCTGTGGTCCTCATGAAATTCATTATGGGGCAGGCTGTCAGTGATGGAATCACTGCTGGTGCTGAACAGGCCCACTTTGCCCGTGATGTGGTACTTTCTCCTAAAAAATTCCTTTGAGTCTTTGCAACAACACTGGCACTCAAAATTTCTCCAGGGATCTCATAAACCTGAGGAGTCAAAGTAGAGGTCTGGACAAAATCTCTCTAGTTGTCCCATCATATCTGAAACATACCTAAATCCTCTGGGCCCCCTAAAACAACATAGGGTACCTACGGTTTCTCCAGGAATCCCTGCATCACTTGGGAGATTACAAATGAGTGTCCATAGTCATTCCTTGTTAGGCTGAGTAGACTTCGTTTAAAAAAAAAAAGAGAGAAAGGTCAAGTAAATTCCGAAAGAGATTAAGTACTTGAGGTTGATTTCTCTGGATCAAAAGTTTTATAGGTGAGCTCTGAACGGTGAGTTTTTGTCTCATCTTGCTCTCTACCTGGTCTCCCCAACAATTCCTAAATTTTCCCCTCCCCTCTTCACTTTTAGAATCCCTTTAATGTGTTGTTTTCTGCCATTTGAATATAGGCTTCTTGAGGGCAAGTGATATTTTGTTTGCTTTTATGTTATCCCCAGCATTTAGTATAGTGTTGGGCTTATAGTAAGCCTTATTAAATTCTCTATCTAGTCCAGCAAGCAAAGCTTAGGTCACCTTAAGAGAAAAGGGAAAAAAAAAAACATGCATGAGCTATTGTAGTGTACTGGACACAATACTTGAAATAGTTGGATGATGTTGGATAGATTTCAGTATATCAGCATTCAAACAAAAGTTATCTTAAAAGAACAGGTCCGAATTTTAAAGGAATACACTGGAAAAACAAACTGATCAATTGTAATCTAAAAGAAGTGGGAAAATGCCAGTTTTTTCTAATGGATTTCATAAAGCTATGGTATATAAGAGTCTTGGTGATGAATCTTAGCTCTAGTGGGTCATTTTAAATGTTAATGACATCAAGATTATCTCAGATGAAGCCGCCATGTATAACAACCCCACTGAGGACTACTTTGTCTTACCTGTACTCATTTTCATTAGAATCCCCAGTGGGGTGATTGCTACTTACTCTGTGGTGTGCCAACCCTATCTGGTGTGCATCTCATTGATACTCAGCCAGTAGCTTCAATTAGCATTTAGCAACAGAATTTACCAAGATGGTTATACTAAGATCAATTCATATTAAATATTTCCTGCATACTCTCCCCCTGTTCCTTCCTGGGGAGAGTGTATTCATGTTCAAAGATATTGGGCACATGCCTAGGGAACACACGTGGCCAAGGGACACCTCTCAGCTCCTAGCCCCGGAAGTCCTTTTCTCTTTTCTTGGAATTCTCATAAAGTTCCTCTTAGGTGTAGCTCTCTGCTGGGCCCCTTGAGAGTTCATAGCCAGTGCTTCTCTAGGCCATGAAGGGTCTCTCTCTGAAACTGCCACCATCTTCGGGGTACTATCTTTCCACATCTGTCAGCAGGTGCTGCTTCTATTATTAGACTTTACCACTATAGCAGCCACTGCTACTGCTTGCACTTGGCCAGTGGGACCTCTGAATCTCCCAAACTCACCATATCATTTGGACACTCATCTCAGAATATTCTTTCACCTAAGATGAGGAAAGAATAAACACAAAAGAGAGAGGCACCATTTGCTCACAGCCTCTATGACTGGGTGAGAGATAAGACAGCTGCAGCTGCCCTTCTCTTCTAGCTCCCTCAGGGCATCAACTAAGAGGAGTGACATAATCTTCTGGACCAATCACAAGAGTTTTTTGTTTTTTTCTTGTCTGGCATCACCTGCCTTTTATCCAATACTCCCAAACCTTAAGGTCCTTTCAAATAGATTAAGGGCTTGTCCATATATTGTAATGAAATTACAGCAAAGTTCCTTAATACTGAATTTACTGGGTTGATTGAATCCCCCCACTATAGAATTTTACCTTTAAACTGAATGCTGGCTAACAGAATAGAAAAAACCTGCATCAATCCAAAGACTCATTTAAACCCTTTGTTAGGAGAAAAGGCTATAGGAAGGTTGACACCAGGTAGAACTGCTTGATTTCTTAGAGCTGCAGACAGGTCTTAAAACAAGAAAGATTTAGTCAGGTGTTCTACTGTATATTCATTAAAAAGTAAACTTAATTCAGGTAGAAGTAGCATGTTAAAAGTGAATATGGAAGAAGAAGTTGATAACTCCCATTAGAAGAGAAACCAGGAATGACTAGGAGCACTTTTTTTTGAGAATGGAGGGTAAATTCCCTTTTATCCCTCCTCCTCTTGAAGTTATCTCTGGTTCTTTTTCTGAGTTTGAGTAATGTAGCAGACCTTTAGCTCTCTACTGAACTTATGAATATTTGGTATGATTAGAAGGGAAAATAATGCCCAAAAAGTGTTATAATTTTTACTCTAATACTCAATATCTGCCTCAGAGGAAGAGACATCCCTAACTGTCATGTTGTACCTCCCACTTATGCCTGTTGAGATTTTCCCCATCTTGGAGATCTAAACTTCAGATGTCATTTTCATTCCTTCCCTGATAATCCTAGCCAGAATCAGTTTCCACATTACTTTGCCATTTTTGTAAATTGTACCTTTCTCCCTTCCTCTCCCTCCCTCCTTGTCTTTTTCTCTTTCCCTATCTCTTTCTCCCCCTTCCCCTTTTTTTCTCTTTTAGATTGTGTTACTCATTGTCATGTTTCTTAATTCTCTTATTGGTTATAAATTCCTTAATATT